TCATACTAGATTAGCGTAAATGCATGTTAATGCGTTCAAAACAAGAAAAAAATTGTTTCCGGGTATTAATCTCTTGAATCACGGCGCTGAATATTGACGCAAAAATATTTCGGGCATCGCGCGCCCTTCCCGCGTCACGTGTAGGCATCTCGCATCTCTGATTGGTTGTTGCGTCTTAAGATGACTGAGCCGACGCGCGTTTAAACAATTTTTCTTTGTTCGATTTATCACACTTCACAGAGAATTGTCGCCAATGGCTACTTCTTTTTGTTGCAATATATAATACTTCACGGAGAATTGTCACCTATGGCTTCTTGTTTTTGTTGTTATTGGAGTTTTGCTCACTAACTTTCTCACCTCCGTTGCACAGATCCCCTCTCCAGTGCAGAGGTTGGTCTCCTGCAGGAGTTCCTGCCCCTGAACATGAATAGTGATGCAGCAGCCTTCAGGCAGGTCGTCTGTAACAACATGAGGAAACTCATGGTCAGACTCAGGGATGGCAGGTGGGACTGCACAAAACTTAATCTATATACCATTGATATATATCCACTGGGTTACATGTATTGAAAATAAGCATATTTGAAAGATCTCTGGTACAACACCCATTGGATGCATCTTTGGATGCAGTCTTTTAGGGTGATTGGCAGAATTATGTTGCTTGTTATAAAATGTTACACTAAGACTTAGTAATAAACAGAAGATACATTGAATATCACTGCACGTAGGCTTGAAGTAGTATTAGCTACTGTGCTGCATGGGACTCATTGTCTACTACTACTACTAGTCTTGTTTGTCTACTTTTGTGCAAACTGAACTTTGTATATTGTCATTTCATGATGCTTTTAAGATTGATATTGTTAAATTGACTTTGTCTCCACTGCCACAGCTGGACTTTACTGAAGAAGATTCTGAAGACAAAGGCAACCGCCTCTAACAATGAAACAAAAACCCAGTTGATGCAGATCATAGGTACTGAAACAGCACTCAAGTACATGTGACTTGCTTCTTATGAACCAAGTCGTTAACTTTATCTTATGCATCTAAACAACTGCTTTCGAAGCTTCTTAGTGTTTCTTATAAACCACAGACCGGCATGTACATGTATGGGTGTAAACATTGTCTGAATGTTGCTGATATCTTCTGCAGGGTTTGTGGATTGGCTTGTTGACCTGTGTGTGATGTCCACCTTCCCTGGTGCCTGCTACCAGAGGAGAAAAACAGGTAAAATTTTAAACAGTCACTCACTCACTATCCGGTTTATCGTCTGTTGTTCCCTGTCTTCCGAGGGTTAGACATGCTTGCACTCTGTGTGTGCTGTGTAATGTGCCGCGTAATGATCTATCATGTGTTCGGTATTTTCTAACCTCCAGCTATATACTAGTGACATCTTTGTTTTGTTTGTTTATAATTAATAAGATCATGTCCATTACTTGCAGCACTGGAACTGCTGTGGATTGTGTATGACCACCTGACTTCTGATTGGGGAAATGAGCCCAAGACATCTGGTAAAGTCTTCTTGTCATCTTGCCAGCCTTCCCTAGCCTGTACAAGCCTTTTATAAATGTCATTATGATCAATTCTTCCAGACATTGTGCTGGCAGAGACAGATCACTCTGTCCGCCATTTCCCTTAGAGATGCCATACAAATGAGAAAGCAATATCTGACTTTGACTGATAGTGCTGTAGTTTCGCTATTGGACTTCCTCTCTGAAACACGTCTTTACCCAAGCACTCTACTTGCCCTTTTCTTTATTTCAACATTAACCATGCTGCATTGAGTACAGGGAAGTCAGGTATGTTTTGGTGAAAGCATCAGTGCTGATTTTCTATTCCCGTGGCAACCTAATGCAGTACAAGCATATTGCATTCAGACTGATAATAACCAAAGACTTCTTCATCTCTTCTAGCAAACTATCAAACTCTCTTAAACTGGGCCAGAGCACAAGGAAGCTGGGATTTCTTTGCAGAGAGGTAAGTATCAATTTTAAAGATTGTGAAACATCCCCTTTCCCCATTCTGTTCTACCGTAACACAGTCTGGTGTGAATTTTTCATTGCTCGTTATGTATCGTTTCTTAGGAATGCAGCTGCCTTGCTGAACTGCATGGAAGATGGATCAACTGAGGTTTGTTTTTAGTTATCCCTTTTTTCTTTAGACAGAACCAAAACCTTTGTCTAGCAATGGTCGATAGTGTTACAGTAAATATTGAGATCTGCAGACATCTTAGAATGACACTTTTACATCAATGAAGGTTAGACATGCAGGTAATGAGATATTTAAGTAACAGTTACTCAAGCAACTGGACATATTTGGAAAATGGTCAGATGTTTTGGATAGCATCCACTACCTTTCAGTCTCTGAAATGTCTGACCATTTTCTAAACCAATCCAATTGCTTGAGTTAAACTGTTACCTTGGCATTTTTAGTTTTACAACATTTTAGATTGAGTCTAAGCAGTACATTAATTTTTATTGATAATTTTCCCCATTTTCTGTATCTGCAGGTGCGTGAGCTGGCTTACCACCTCCTGCTCACATCCTTCCCCACCCCCTGGTGCTGGTGGGGCCTGGGGGAGGGGGAGACAGGGGACAGGCTGTTCAGTCATGCCAGGCAGCTGCTCCACAGCCCTAAGGCTCAGGAGTGTGAGGCCGGGGCACTCATCATCAAACTTATCTTCAACAAGTAAGGATATGGCTAGTTCTTCTTACAAATGCACCTGCACCTGGAGGTGGGCTCTGAGAACAATTCATTCAGCATGCTTAAGGCTGCAATAAGGTTTACAGTATTAAAGGTTACTCATGCTACATGGTTGTGTACATGTTTATTATAATAAGTAAATCTACATTTTGTGCATGGCCTTTTTTGTAGTATTGGGCCAATTAACATCTAACCTTCATTGACGTATTAGGCCAATTAATCATTAGCTGTGCTCTTTGCTTTTTATCCCTTTCAGACTCTCCATACAGAGGGGACTGGATGTTTTTGGTGAGAGCGTTTCTGACTCAGGCAGTGCCCCTGTCAGGTTTATCCAGGGATTGCTGGGCCTCCTACAGGAGCAACACACGACGGCCACCTCCAACCTGCTGCAGGCTGCCAGACAGGCTCCCATGCATGGTATACACACTCTCTATTCAGGACACAAGCATCTCTAGTCTCAAGAATGTGCATGATATCAAAACTTGAATGCAAGGATCCTAGACATCATAGCGCACATAGCATAAAGCTTGGTGTTTGTTTCATTATACGACGAACAGAGAACAAACTTAAAGGTCCCTCTCCCATCTCAAGCCCTGTTGTTGTTTTATTCTCATACTTTGCATCAAATTATTTAAAAAATTGGCAAAGGATACAAAATCTGAAAAGAAATATAATTATAGTTTTTGACTTTTGAATAATAGAGAGCTCCTTTATAATTTGTGCAATAGGTACAAAGATTTCCTACATGTACTTGGTATGCTACTGGACAGGTATACCTACATGTATAAGTATGATAAACTAGCAATGGTGTAAAACTTAAGATTAAAACTTAAGACTTGAGATGAAAGTTTCTTAACTTGATTATCTGGTCTCTTGTCAGGTTCCGTTGCTTGAAGATGAACATCAGGAAGAAGTTAGCATATCTACTTACTTTGAAGGTTTGATCCTTTCAACAGGTGTTCTGCTGGCACTGAGACAGTGCCTGTCCTCACCTGCCCTCTGGGTACAGCACAGGTCTGAGGATGTGGGACAGCTGAGGTGCCAGGTCAGTGACCTTGTGACAGCTGTGGAGGCTGTTCTGAGTCTGGTACTCAAGGCTCTAGCAGGGGTCAAGGGTCAGGAGGAAGAGGAAGGTGAGGAAAACTGACAGTAAAGAGTTGTTGATGCCTCGATATTTACAAATGCCATTCTGATGTTCCTGAAGCTCCATTAAAATTAATTCATTTGCTTTACACGGTAATTGCATGGGTGCTTGAATACACGGTGTCCAACCTGTAACTTGAACTGTGTGTCAGATAAGACAGTCAATGCCACAAGATAGATCAATGAAATATATCAAAATTTGTTGAAACACATACATGTTGTTTGGGGAAACATGTTGCTTAGATGTTATATTACTGGTAAGTTGAAGTACTCCAAGCCAGTTTTATCAACCCTTTCAGTGTCAGAGCCTACTAGCACATGATGTGAGAGTCAGACAACATGTCCTGTGTTGTTGCAGACTCTGAGGTTTCCCCGTCCTTTGCTGACATGGGCGAGGCCATCAGCAGTATCATCTGTGAGAGCGGAGACCAGGAGGGGGGGCAGGACGACATCGCACTGACGCCTGAACATGAGCTGGTGCTGGCCTGCTGCTGGCTCAATATCAAGGTTGGCACATTTTCTGCTGATAGCATTGATGATATGATGGTTGATAATTTTGATAGTTTGTCTGCTTCAGGTCCTTCTATGTTAGGACTCAAACCTACAGCCTTGTGTTGCTGTATGATGGTGACATACTCATTTTACTGTCCCTTTCTATATTAGTAGATATGAATTAGACAATCCAACTGTCTGTTTACATGTAGATGTCTTTTTCTACATGATGTCTGGCCCAATGTATGAAAAATCAATCAATTTCTGGTTAATCACTTTGTGACTTATCTGTCTACAGTAACTCATGAATCCTTGTAATTGTTGTTTCTAGGAGGCAGGCCTTCTGCTGGGTCAGCTGGTGGACAGTGTACTACAGAATGACTGTGAACTGTTGACTCCTGAACAAGTGCAATTCATAGGCAGGATGTACGTTAGGATCCTCACACAGTGTAGGCACAGGGTAATCAGACCAATTATTTACAATCATGTATTTCATCCCTGCTTATCCATGTGTCATTACTGTAACGATTTATCACTACACTTTAAAATGAAGATATATTTTATTATATTTATTATGCTTCCCCTCTAGGGTGCAATAGAGAGTTGCAACATTGGATTCCTGATGGTTTGTAAAAGGCTGCTAAGCCATTCTGATGCACAATTGGCAGCCATACCTGCACAAATACTGGATCAGGTAAGAACGTATTCCTTTTCAGACAAAGTGAACGTATTCCTTTTCAGACAAAGTTGTTTATGAATGTCATAGTCACAGATGTTTATACCTAATGTAATTATGTATTATACCAATTACTCATTAATACAATGTATTATCAGATTTCTGACTTCTTCTGTTATGATATTCAATAGTGTCTTCTTTTAAATACATGTACTTTATAGCTCATCAACCAACAAGTCCATCTCATTCCAGGTGCTGGATGTTATCTCGGGGAATAGAAGTACATCAAACATTACCCGCCGTAGTGCAGGGCTCCCCCTGCTGGTTCAGGCCATTACTGCATCTGAGCCCAGGGGAAATTACAGACCGCTCCTGAGAAGAGCTGTGCAGGTTCTGCTGACCACTGCACAACTGCCCTTGTCTCAGGATGAGGACCACACTGTCGACATTCCTCAGGTATCTCTATCTGTGTCTGTGTAGCCAGTATAACCGCCCTTCAGCGTAACACACCACCGGGTAATGTTACAGAAAATAACTTCAAAATCTGTAGCTGCAGACATTTGAAAAATCAAGAAACTAGGGATTTCATCCAAATGAATGTATTGAAAAATGGTATTCTTAGCAGGGAATGAAACAAAAGTTGTTGGTAAATCCTGGGTATGTTTAAACTTCTTCCTTCTTTTGTGAAATTAGATTATAGAAATAGCATCATAATAGAAGCTTTCTTGATACAACAAAAAGTACTGCTTTAGTAACAATAACAACTTTAAATTTCCGTTAAGTCAACTACAAACTGCAAAATAGAAATATAAGATTTTAAAAAATAAGTAAATTCATGTGTAATCAAGATTATTTTGTCCCCACCATGACTTCCAGGTACATGCGCTGAATGTCCTGAGAGCGCTGTTTTCTGACTCGACCCTGGGGGCGGCCATGTTGGGCCACATCTCTGACGCCGTCATCCTGGCCATCAGTGGGTTCTCCTCACCTGTCTGGGCCATCAGGAACGCAGCCATGCAGCTATATGGTTAGCATTGTATACAATGTACATGTAGTTACCGGTATTGACACATTTTGATATTTGATAAGTGTTTGTAGATGTATATTGGGCATGAAACTGCTGAAAAAAAGTTTTCTAACTCTTATCCTGCTGGCATGTTTACGCAATATTTTCAAATGATTTGATGTCTTAACCAGGTCATAGACCCTTGACTTTTTTTGCCATGTGGTTGCGTAGTTACTTCTGCATTCGTTACGTTTTGCTGCAGTGTGATGTATTGAATGAGAAATACCCCCAAATTGTACAGGGTGCTATTTACATGTAGATGGTACTGTATGTGCAACCCATATACATGTATATATGGGATCCGCAAGACAAGGGTTTTTTAAACAATACACAATAAAATTGACAGACCATAAAGGAAAATGACCCAAAAAAATTCTTAAACTTTTTACCTGAGGAAAAAATAAATTGCACCAACATTTTTACAATCTTCCACAATCCTTCCTCAGGCTGTCCTGTCCTTTAGAACCTCAGGAAGCGACATCAATTATATAAGTGATTTGTAGGAAGTAGTAACAGCCTCTGCTTTGATTTTACATTGTACTTGTTTATGATAACTTATCACTATACGTCATGATCACTTCAAAGTAGCATCAAAACAAGAGTCATTACCTAGCAGTCCCCTGTCTCCCAAGATTTGTTATGACAACAGGAATGTTTTCCTTTCAAGTTAGACAATATGGCCCTAAGGATGACACTGAATCTCTCTCCAGGTGTGAAATTGGACAGCACATCGGGTTTATCTTCATGGTGCAGGTAGCAGGTTTTACTGCTAGGTTAGCAGACTTGTCACTGTCACTGTATTATTTTGTGTTGTCAGTTTTAGTTCATCCTCAGTGCAGACAATCCTATCTAATCCTAACATACATGTCTCAGGGGCATGATTCCTCATGTACATGTATGTTCATCAGTGGTGTTTTAAATGCTACAATAAAGAAAAAAAAATAGTCATGAAAAAGTACATAATTATTATATAGGTCGTAGCTACTATGTCATGGAAGGATGACAGACCTTGTAAAGGCTTCATCATGTTGATGTTAAAGCGTTTAGAATCTATTGGAGTATTGAAATGAGCCATAATTGTCATTGATCCAATATGGTCTGTGGCTCTAGTGTAAAATTAATGTATTATAAATGGAATGTAACAATGGAAGCGGTACTGATGATTGCTTTGTAGAGTCCTATGAAGCTATGGTAAAGGGGCATTGCCCTTCTTTGGTCTGGGTTCTTGTGTAGGCTCTAGTATTAAAAACAGTTTTTTCGAGCTTCTAGGAGTAATGAAACAGACTCATCATTCAAATATTTTCAACACTCAAATTGCTCAACTTCTTGCCACCTGGAATTCAGTTAATTGGCAAAAATGGGACATGAATCAGGTGTGTTCAGCCCCATGGGGAAAGGTCAATGTACGAAGTGCTGAAACGTCTAAACCAGAGGATCATATATTTTCTAAGAAGCATGAAATCAATTTTATGACTTGCTACAGGCTCTGAAAATGTCTGAAAATGCACAGCTTGCCACTTCAAACTGGGTCACGGTGGTCCACAGTAAATCAGACGTAGTAACAGTGTGTGGGTCTGAATACCAGTGAATAATTGGACAAAATCCACCCTTAATAAGATCCACGTCCCAGGGGCCTTAGTGCCCTTATTGTAAGGTGTAAAAACAGTCTGGGTGATAATGTCAGTGGCGGTCACATGGTGGCACAACGTCCCCGAGGTATTTCTATCTCTGTCTGACTGACTGCAGGTGTCAGAGAGGAACACGACACACTGATTGGATTAGAGGAAACTGGGTTACCTGTGCAGCGTGTACATGTATGTCTGTTATGGTTCAAAGGCATTGCATACTAGCTAAGTTAGTGATATTGTATTCAAAGCGGGTTCTAGCATAGTTAGTTCTAGCAGTCCAGCTTGTATGAAACATAGTCTATCAAAATTAATGTGTGTACCTGACGCTTTGCCAGAGACTTTAAACCGTTTATTCAAGAGTACATGTAGCTCAAATCAGCCTGTAGTGTAGGCTACTTTTCATTGAGGTCATGAGGGAAGACAAAATTAACAATGATACTGTTTACAAGTTTACATGTACATGAGTTTAAGTCCTAATAAATCATCCATACACATCCCTATAGTAAGTCCTATAATCTTGAGAGATATTAGAATTTAGATGAACAGAATATTCTAAAATATGTTTCAATCTTACTCAATACAGTACACTATATCCTCGAGAACGCATCAAGAATGTCTGGTTATGTATTGCCTTCCACAGGCACTCTCTTGATCAGGATGCTGGGGCCCAAACGTGTGAGAGACGAGCACTCAGCAGAGAACACCATCACAGCTCGAGAGTTCTTCACGCGCTGGCCAGGCCTGCGACTGTTCTTACTGCAGCAGCTGACGGAGGCGGTGGGGAGGCAGGGGGAGGGGAGGTTCTACCTGCACCCCGGGCTGCAGCCGGTACTCATCCTCCTGTCCAAACTGGGCCCAGGGATAGAGGACGTGGAACACAGGTGAATGGCTGGGGTGGGATCTCTTTGTCAATAAGAGATGGTTGTCAGGAATTGTAAAAAACTTTGTAACAAATACAGTCATGATTCTGGTACGCATTTGACACAATTTTGGAAAAGATTAGTAGCTTAGAATCAATAAGGAATTAGTTTGACACATCTATATGTAAGCTGCAAATCAGTTTCTCATTGCTGCTGTTGTCCTGTTACTGAGAAATGAACATGACAAATTGAAAAGGATGTTCACTTGGTAGTATGAACAGACTTTACATGTGCATGCACTGAAAAGGTGGCAGACAACTAGACACAAGCTAAGAAATGTCCTCTGAATATTTTCCAACTGTTCCAGGAAGCTGCTGTCCCAATTTGTGAGTCCTGTGATGGCCCAGGCCAGCAGCCCCCTGCTGTCCGTCCGCGTGCTGTGTGCACGTGCGCTGGTGCCTCTGGTGAGCGTGCAGACACAGGTGCAGGTGATGTGTGGCATCCTGGAGAAGATGGCAGCTGCACCTGGGGAACAGGTGCAACAGAACGGCCTGCATGGAGCCATCCTGCAGGTGATGCACCTGCTGCAACAATGGAAAGATACCACAAGGTAAGAATGAACTGGTATTCTATAGCCTGGGTGCCAGTCTAGTTGGTTTGTGCAGATCCTGGGTATCCTATACTTCCCCATTACAGTATACAGGAGACCCTGCATAAACTAACAAGAACAGCATCCAGAATTATATGTACATGTATAACACCAGTAGTTGGCTAATGAAGTGGTTAAACAACTTTCATGTTTTCAGAGTGTTTTTTTAATGTGTTCAAAGTACCCAAACAACTTTCACAAACTGAGTCACAAGACACATCTCAGGTTCCTGTTTTTCATATAAATACATCGTATTTCCAGGAAAGACTACCTCCAGGAGAGCAGAGGTATCCTGCAGGCCATCCTGGCCAGGTCCTGGGTGGCCACGTCCTCCAACCCCTGCCCCGTCACCCGGACAGACTACCTGAAACTGCTCCTGTCTGCTGCCCAGTCGTGTGACACCTGTGTGGAGAGAGACAGGGTGTTACTGACACTGAAGGATGAGGTCTCCACCGTGACATCAAATGTGGATTCCAGCTGTCAGGTCAGTGGTTGTCATGGATTTTGCAGAACTGAAGATGTCGGCTTTCAATGTTGTGCTGTCCATCTCGTGGGGTGCAATTGTGCCAGGCATCTGGGGTTTAGCTGGTTTAACATTTTGCTCTACATGTTGAATGGTCTGCCATTTCCTGACCTTCATTTGAGCTGAATTGTACTGAGATGTGATTTTACATGATATTGTACAGAAATACATTGTATATGTAGCCCAGGACTGGGACCTCCTGGCTGTATCAGATTTTGCATTGTGATTGTTGAAAAGAAACAGGAAAATCCTTGTCTCTATATTGTACACAGCATATTATATTTGATTGTGTATATCCTGGCTAGGTACAATGTACATGTAAGTCTCCTCTTCCCTGCAGCCAGTGGCCAGCGAGCTGCTGCTAAAAACTGCAGCATCAGTTTCACTCCAGCTTCTGACGCTGAACTCTGTCCCCGCGGAGACCCATCAGCAGCTGACTGGCTCCCTCCTGCTGTCTGCCTGTGTGGACGTGAGGAGAGCGACCCTCCTGCACATCCAGGACCTGACGTCACGGGAGGACCTGGCCGCGTGGCTGTGGATCCTGGTAAGTCTCCCCTCATCAGGGGCTTGTTACAGATAAGCGCCACTGCCATCATTCAGGATTTAAGTCTGGTTTGGAGTGTTGGCTGACGGCTGATGTGGGATTCATTATTAGATGTAACTAGGTCAGAGTTTTCAAAGCCAAGAAATTTCAAGCCTTTTAAACATTGGTAACCAAGAGAATGAAACAACAAGACCTCAGGTAGAAGTGTCTGTTGTTGGTCAGACTCTCTTGCTGGGTTTTAAAGCATTTTTTTGAGAAAAATGACTGATTCTTGCAGAAGCAATGTTGTAATTTGTTGCATTTGTCATTTTGGATGGTGGCAACCCTGTGTGAGTTTGGTGTACCTCCAGGCATGAAGACATAAAAGATCCTAACACAGTTTTGAAGGACAGTGTGAGGGGCCCTGTGTGTTTGGCTAAAAGTGCAAGTTGTTGCTAAGATGCATTGCGCTACTACCCCTTCACCTTAGTTCACTGTGCACTAGTAGCTAAATTGAAAAGCATTTTGAGGCAATATATTCAGATCAGGTGTCATCTCATTTGCATGTTCTTGGCAGTGTTTCTGGTACTTTATGTCACAAAAGGTGTATATGTATTGTATTGTTCCTGTTGACAGTAGTGCTTTACACTGCAGTACAACAAATGGTTAAATGTTTGGTTGAGTTGAGGAAGAATCAGTTTGAAAAATAGCGGCTTCAGGAAACAAAGGCAGCGGGCACTTGGCCAAGAACATTGGTACAGACCTGAGATAAACATTAATACCATGATCTGGATTTCTGGAATGTCTGGCACCAGCTGGCTACAAGAGGCTTCTTGAGAAACCCCACAGGAGAAGTCAAGCAGATTTATCTAGACTGACCAGGGATTGTGTTGTTCTTTTTGTCAAAGTCATTGAATGGGGTTCAAGGAGGGACAGTAGAATTTAGAAAGGTAAACATCTTTATATCTAGAGTACTGTAACTTCATTTACTTTTGAGGTGGACATTATACATTGATTTCTATATCTGGGTCCGAAAATACTTTTATTTCACAGGTTGCTCACTGTGCAGCCTAAGCCAAAAGCTACATGTATATGTCGGTTGTCCATTAACATTTCAGGTTGCTGTCAACACCGACCACCTGAAAAGGTATCGCTTACATGCATGGCCGTGGTGGGACACACTTTATTTCAGAAGCCATAAGCTGGGCAGCTGTAAACTTTAGAAAGGTTGCTTTGAATGAAAAAAATGATTACTTGCATGTTGGGCAATCTGGCATCTCCAATAAGTCTCACACAGAAAATAAGACCAGTGCAGTGAAAGTGCAAGATTGAGTGTTTTGAGCCCTGCATATGCATAGCATTATTATAGTACATACACATGAAATATCCTAACAGGTAAAAGACAATTGTGGAGATATGAAAATTGGAGCTTATTTGCATATTTTTAGTTGAAAAGGCCATGTGTAGACTTCCATGCTTCCTGTACAAAATGATGACATTGTATTATGTTGTAGCTGCCATATACAGGGTATTCAGTCTGTTATGTCATTTTGACAGAGTGTTGCCTGCTAGTCATTGACTTACATGTACCTTGATTCCTGGGCTCGTAGCTGTCACTTACAGATAACAACAGACACAAGGGGTTTTACCAGCTATCAGTAATGGTAATCTAATCAGGTCCTTACCTAATGACTTCATTCTCTGGTGAGCAAACCTCCCATAGACCCGCTATTCATACAGAAATGTCACGTTAGCATGCTAGACCTGGATGGCAGAGATATCTTACACATCTAGGCTGGGAAAGGTGAAGGTTCAATATCATAGCCTTTTTTAGGCTTTCTGACGGCAGTGGATTCTTAAAATTCATATTGTGAATATCATATTAACATTCATATGATGGTCAGGCAAGGGACCTGTCTTGTTGAAGTTACATGTGTACCTGAAGGCATTTGCAAAATTATAGATTTAGGTCAATAAGGTAATCGTATATGATAGTCTCCTTCAAGCAAGGAATTTTATAAGTTAACATTGATTGCCAAAGGACCTAATTTGGATCATTGCAATAAGTAAAGATGAATGGAGGCAACAGTATTGCCTATAAATCACCAGATTGCAAACTACCTGAGGACTAGTGTGTGTCAGAGACAAGGAGGTTGACCCACATATAGCACTGTTTATTGCAATGTACCATTGTGCATAATGGAGAAAAAATGACATGCCCAAATCCCCCTTTCCAATAGATGAATTCTACTTTATCATGAGAGATGAATATTCAGCCGATCATGCTCTGTCATGTAATGCATCCCATGTGTAACTGCCTATCTATGGTCAAATAGCCCCTCTTGAAAAAATGTAGCTGTGTACCCACATGGGACATTTTATGGCCAGTGCCTCTTTTTTAACTCAATCAACAGTCAATGAATAGGCTTGTTGGATTTGCTGGGAGTGGAATGAAACCCCCATTACTTCATTCTTTAAGCCTCATTAAGGCCATACCAATTTGAAGAGTTGTTTCTTACCTAAAAACTATTTAGAATTAACTGTTTGTCTGGCTTATGCATTGCACTTCAACTGGAACAGTTGCAAATACTGCTAAGTACTATTTTGTGGAAATCTGCCAACACTGTTTTAGATTTACAGTTATCAATATAAACAAATGAAGTCAATTCATTTTTTGTATAATGCACAATGTACATGGTAGTTCTACAGTCTATAATTGTTTTCTGGAGTTCTTCTAAGGCCATGTTGATTTGATTATATGGATGACATCCTCCTGGAACCCCAAAGCTGATGCGCGCGTGCGAATAAAAAAAAAGTTTTGCCAAAAAAAAAGTTGTTTTCATTATGAAATCTACGTGGTTTTGAAGGTTTAACAAATGGCACAGAATATGGTTTGGTGAATAATCTAATCTTTAAGTTCATTTCTTTACAATTTCGTCTTTTTTCATTTGATTTTGGCATTCTACGACATTGGTATAGTTTTTATTTTTTATTTTTTGTAACTTACGGCATATTTTTGCTCATTTTGCAACCGTTTTGTACGATTTACAGTATGGTTTAAAACTTTTTTTTTTTGGAAACGGCCGAAAATTCATGCGCGCGTGGATGTCATCCATATAATCAAATCAACATGGCCTAATATCAAAATTAAAAGTAATATAGACTGAAATGTAAGTTTTGACAACTCAAGCTAAACTTCTAGCCTGAACTTTCGATTAGTTCTGACATGCTATTTGTTTGATGGGTCCAAATTGGACTTCATGTGGTCAGGAATCATGATGTAACATTACAAGCCAAGATCAGACGGAGTTACCACAGAAGAAAGGATTCTTGGCGAACATCCCAGAAAGTAATCTGGCTCGTACCGGGCAGATGTTATCAAGCATTCCAACAGACACATTTTCGTGTAGTTACATGTACGTTACAGACTATAACTGACGCATTAAAGTACTGTAATAATGAAATCATTTCACAATGGTAGAGCAAGGTTAAACTTTATTTCAACTCATTTCCCAGCCACCTGACCAGCACTCTCCGTTATTAGGCTGTGATCACCAGTAAATTTTGACATTCCCAATCGTCTCTGATACAACTAAAAAAAGTCATGCATGCCATTTCCTAAGTTCTACTATTCCTAAAGTTTTTAGGCTATAAATTTTACCAGTACCAGTAACAAACTTTATGGTGAACATGGTGATACAATATATGTGGTGTGGTTTCAGCTGTGAAACACGCTAAACTGAAAAAAATACTGTCACACATGTATATCTTACCGGTATGTTTTGTACCCTTTACAAAGAAACTGCAATTGGAGATTTGCAGGTGTTTAGAGACTAACAAATTGTAATTTCCCTTGCATTTGCAGCCGATACTACAACAGCAGTTGGAAAAGGAGACCGACCTTTTGTGCTTGGAGCTCTGCCTGGACAACTTTGTGGTGTTTCATACGTCCAGACAAGAGTTACCACCCTGCACGACTTTCCCCACTTCTCTGTGGACTGTGGTTATGCAGTTTGCACAGGGACATAAGGGAACATCAGTCTGTGCCAAAGCCCTTCCTGTGTTAGCCATTGGTTTACATCAACTTCTGCATTCTAAGGCACACAGCAGGTAAATGAAATATCTATTCTTCATACAACTTTGCTAGTCGTTGTCAGGGGCTGACTAGGCTCCTAGGGGCTTGATCAGTGGGAAGGCTGGTAAAAGCGTCGTTTAGCCAAGCTCCAACTTTACAGATATGAATTGTCTGAATAGTGTTCAATTGGTATTTACCATCATTTCTGATGGTTATCTAAACAATGGCAAACTTTACCACCAACCACTTACTTTCACCAAGAGTAAGCACAATTTCCTCTCATTCCTTTATTCCATAACTGGATGCATCAATTTGGGAGATGAATAAGATAGATTTTGGCCTGTATGTTCTAATTCTTCTTCTTCCGTTAATGTCCATCGGCCGAATTGTCGGCCATTATTGACATGATTAACGGGTCAGAGGTCACCGTTGGGGGGTGTCTAGTCGATGTTTGACAACTGCGAGACAAATGCAGACAGGGAGTTTGACTGTATAACCTCCTCGGGTAGGGAGTTCCAGTCGCGTATGGTGCGGGGAAGGAATGAGTACTGTCGGTAGTTTGTACGACATGGGAGTTGTTGGTACTGTTGGCTGTGGCCTCTGCGGCGTCTAGTGCTGTTACCAGGAAGGAGCTTCAAGGCTTCACAGCTTACACATGCTAGGCCCTGCGTGATCTTGTACAGCATGGTAAGTCTGTTGTTGCGGCGACGATTCTGGAGGATGGGCCACTGAAGCTGCGCTAGCATGGCAGAGACACTGGAGGTGTTCCTGTAACGATGGAGAACAAATCGCGCAGCCCTCCGCTGGACTTTCTCTAGCTTGTTTATGTTCTGGTTTGAGTGCAAAGCGCCCTTCATGCAAAGTGCCCTTAAATTTAATCAGAAGGATCAATTCATTTGATATTTCGTACTGCTGGTTTCTCAAGAAGACTAGTGGACCATTCTGTAACTTAAAACTTTCCTGATAGAGTTTCAGAAATGTATGATGATCTCCATGTCCTGTATGAGGTTATGTAGCAGAATATGTATCTTCTTACATGATGGATGAGAAAGTCATTTTCCAGTGATTTTCAACTTATTGGCTTCTATTTTCCACTGATGGAGGTCTTACTATCAACTCATACAATCACAGGATATTGTATCATAGTCTGTAACATAACCTTGTACATGTTTAATCATAAAAATTTGCTGTCCTGGAAAATTTAGCCTGTAAAATAAAATTTTACACGATAAGATGTTGTGGATCACAGAAGAGTTGTACATGTATGTTGGAAAATGGTAAATTACAAAATTGCAGATTCCAATATCTCAGTTAACATGTTACATTTCTCATCCACCAAAGCTCTATACATGTTTTTATGGAGTCATTCAGGGTCAAGCTGCTTGCAGGTCTGTGCAGAAATCATGCAGACTCAAAATCTATTTGTGTAATGGGTGCCATTAGCCCCTCCAGCCTACAATGGGAAATTGCAATGGCATAACATTACATTTAGGTTATCACCCTGGGCTAGGTAGGTGTTATATTCATAATGTCCTATTTAGGGCCTTGTATGATCCATCAGTTACACAGGGCACATAGAAGGCGTGGAATTTAAGTATTGGCATTGTCGCCCTAAAAGTACTTGACTGTATGTATAACCCAGTTTGTGGTCAGTATTGCCCCTGATCAAGTAATGAGATTTATCCACAGTCACAGCTGCAGTGGTGCTCCTTCATTTCTTTCATCCAGCTTCAATGGCCCTTTGAAGGTTTCTTCAAGCAGCCGATTTCATTTTGATAAAATAGGCACAGATTCTGGTCTTTGTGGAAAAAAGGAGGCAACAAAACTCAACCGGTCCTTTGAGCCCAAATCCTATTTACTTATTAAAGGTAAATCATTCTTTGCCAGTCTGCCGCCGACCATTCAGGGAAAATTGGAATGAAAGCAACAGGTCAAGTCTCTGGGTCAGGCAGAGGCACATCACTGTAGGCATTTGGTTTGTCTCAGAAAAGGATATCTTCATGCAGACTGTGCAGATTCCCAGTGGGAACGGCATCCAATTTAGCACCCTGTCGCTAAGTATTCTTACCTGTAAAGGGAGAAGGAAATTGAAATAGCATATCTGGATTATATTGATTTTCATAGAATTTTATGCAAACCACGCACCATTTCAGCCACAATGGCTGACATTGTGTGGTCACTTAATGTCATCATCGTTAGCAATTATTTTGCAATTAACTTCTTGAATTAAAAAATTTGTTGAGGTAGGCCCATCTCATGATCCAGAAGAGGAACGGCTAACAAAGTTAATGTTTTAGCCCTTGCACTGGCATTCTTGACATGCTATGATGCATGAACAAGTTGTATCTTCTAACCAGGGGGCATGTGGTAATGCAGAAATGAAAGGGAGATGAAATCTGGCTTACCTTATACAGGAACCTGGATTGATTTTATTACAAATCATCGGAGCCATCTGTTGCTCTATATATACATGATGGATCACCTGCAGGAGACTGGCGGCTTATTATGAAGTAATTACAAACCGCACCCTGTGTCGGGGAGAGAAAATTAGCCCGAACAGGAATTGGTAATTACTTCCCAATGTAATGATTTACTCGTAATTACATTAGCATGGCTGTGGCACTTGATTCCTCCAATGCAGTAGAAGATTCACTCCCATTCAAAAATGAGTTCATGAGCTAGTGTATTAAGTTCGCATTTTGCAGGATTAAGTAGATGACAGCTGCAAGTTTGATAGATTTATATGTGAGAATGTGAGAGTTAGAAGCAATTTTTGGCAGGGATAAGTTGATAAAACTATACTTTTAATTAAAATGATCATATCTAAGTACATGTAAGTAAGTTTAATTTATATCTTTACTTTCTGAAAATGACTCAGGTACAATAAGCCGTGTAGTTGTCATTACCTAGTCCCATTTAAACATGTAAGACTCATACAGTAATGATCTGTTCCCTGATCTGTACAAAGCATTCTAAGACTCACCTTGTCTAAGAGAGTTTTACAGGTTGATGTATGTTCATTGTATGTAAAGCCCCTGTCACACACATATATAGCCGAATATAGCCTCCTAAACACTGCCAAACTCCCCCCACCCATGGTTAGGAGTAGGTCGGGAGCAAGGTTGGTTGTTATTGCTTGGTGTTTGGCGAGGTCAGCTATTGTTCGGCTGAACCAGCTGAATATTTTGAAATGTTGGAAGCATTCAGGTGTGGACTAGAGGTTTGAACATGCTTGGCTGGGGTTAGGGAGTTGCTCAGCAATGTTTGGGGCGTGTCAAGGGGTCAAATTTGACTCAAATTTAACTCAAATTCCATTTGATCCATATAGAAAAGCAGGCGTGGCCTAAATCTGGTCAAACTACTCATGAACTTCAGCCAACCTTGGTTGATAGGTGGTTGGGAGAAGGTTCTGAATGTGTGACAGTGGCCAGGTTTTCTCCGTGGTGCTGAAACAACGGTGTCTTGTCTGTCTACCAAAAGTGGTCACATAGACCAAGTGGTCCTTATCAGAGGTGGTCAGTTGTACATTTTTGACTGTATTGTGATACTGTGTATGTCCTAGCAGAGAGGAGCTGCAGAAGTGGTCCCAGCTGATGGAGGCATACAGCCACCCCCTCCAGCCGGAGCCCCTCAGGGTGGGGGTGGGCAGGGCACTGCAGCAGGTGGGGGTGGGGGTGATGGAGAGGATTGCTCAGGAGCAGCAGGAGGAGGACATGGAGGTTGTACTCAGGTACATTTACCAGTCATGCATTGTTTCTTTCATTCATACATTCTCTAGACCAGTGTTCAAGCCGGCCTGAAATTCTTTCTACATCATCTCAATTTATTTGACGTGACATAATGTCACATATGTACTTCCATGTTTGCATGCAAATTTTTGTCCATCAAATTCAAAGATGACGGATTTGGCAAAAGTTTTGGAAAGACAAGTTTGATCACACCTTGATACTTGTGTATTATTACAGAACTGTTAAATAACAGAAGGGACTAGTGCAGGTGACTCAATACCACAGCAAGTGAAGTAGCTAGTGCTGCAAGTTGTGGGTGATTAGTTAGTGGAGAAAGTCAGATTACATTTACAATACAACCTTGTAGGTAGTTCTCCTGTTATTGAATCATTTTCCGTGAGATAATCAGCTCAGGTGTATCGTTATATAGTTTCTCATTTTCTCACCCTGTCCCTTGAGTACGGAGCTGTTCAGCTGACTGTGTTTGATTCCATCTCCAGGTTGACTCGGGCGACGTTAGCCCTGCTGCAGGACGAGGTGCGGGAGCCCAGGACACAGGCGACATCATTTGCTGCTCTCCTTCCCAGGACACCCTCAGTTGTCCAGGTATGCCGTCACTGATTGTGATAAAAAGTAATGGATACTACTTGAAACATCTGACAGCTTTCAACCCCTTTCCAGTCTTCTTGTGTATCTTATTACCTGGATGTCTAACCTTCATCAATGTATGTACTATCGGCTCATGCTATTAACATGTAGTAATCCTTCATCCCTTCATCAGTTCCTACTTTGCAAAGAGTTGGAAATATGTCAATCAGCACTTCTATCTATGATTACAATGTTATTATTTCAGAACAAAAATTTGAACTGGTGCCAATGTTTCGACAGTCTGTCAGTTGTCTTCCTCAGGGCATAATATTGAAGTGCAGTAAACTAGCAATCTACAAGTACATTTGCATAGGTCATTAGCATAAGACTGCTGGAGCAAGACAGTAGACAGGTTGTGGAAATGTTGACCATTTTAGGCACTAGTTCAAATGTTGGGTGTGATATTAGAACATAGTGCTACAGAATGAAATTATTTACAAATCTAAGAAATTCTCTCTCACATTGGTCAAGAGCTACATTTGTAGTTCCTTTTAAACTGCAGTTGTTGATTGTTTTTCTTGATTTCATGTGCTAGCATGTACATGTAACCTTGGATTATCTTAAGGAAGAATGCTACTTGCATGGTGCTGCATTCTCATAGAGAGCTTTCCATAATCGCAATTATATGAAGGTCTGATGCTGTATTGCTGCCCTCCAAGATTTTGTAGTTTTCATTAAGTTTGAAGGTTGAATTTCCTCAACTCACCATATCTGATGCAGTCAAAAGCTTAGTCCAAGGTGACTTCAAGGATTTCAGTAACACTGCAGTGAAATGCTCGACTCTCACCAATATGAGTTGGCTTTCTTTTTCATTTGGGATACAATGTATGACGACCCACTTTGCCTCGGGGTTAATGCAGAGAATAGATACTGGCCCCGTTGACTCTTCCTCTTGAACAATCAGGGAAGTTTTATATTACTTTTACTACTTCTATTACTTTTACTATGACTGTTTTTACTACCACTAATTTCCTCTCTATATAACTATAATCGCTGGAGGAACTTTCCATTTTAGATATCATATTTCAGCACATAATGATAAATTGTTATCACTAATGCCCTAAGACATGTATATAAAAAAAAGTAGTGGCATTTGACTGTTGCTGACATTTGCAATAAACAACTGCTGATTGGACATAATTCTCATAATAATTATTGTATTGAGTGCATAATCCATTACATTGATGAAAAGGGATGTCAGCATGTGCCAAAGTTATGACATGCTAATAGAGAAATTCAAATCAATATAATTATTCTAAAATCATATGTGAATAAATAATAAAAAATAAAATGTGAATTGAAAAGAGAAAAATTGATGATTTTTATATTAATTTGATTCTCCTCTATTGTTCTTGGCAATATGGTAAAATAGAAGTGTCAGATAAGCACCAATAAAGGTTGAACATTTCCACTGGTTTAGAAGTTGCCTTACGTATATACTACTGCATACACATTATTTTGAAAAAGGTGAACAGAACGTCTGATCAAATCAGTCATTGATAATCATGAGTGGGTGTTACCAGCTCTTTTCCCATCTGTCTGAACTCCCTGGGATGATTGAATATTTCCCATGCCTTTGTTTTGATATTGCATGTAGTATTTTTCAGCACAGGAAGTTGGAATCATGCATCTTTTTTCTAGTCTACTACGGGATCACTGCAAGCTGTTATGGGATTATAGGATTTTAAACTCAATCCTGGTCTGAAAGATTCATGTGGCTGGAGATTTACCTTGCTCTTCTGGACACTTCTTTAGTGGTAATTGGTTCTTGCAGTGGGATTTGTCCCTTGATGAACCAGCAAGTGCTTTCTGCAACTTTGGGCATCACTGCAAAGGTGGCATGTCAAGATAAGGAAGCACAAAAACTGTTCAGGGCAGTTTTATAAACTTTGACTGAAAGGTCAAATGGTGTTCCTGATGTGTCTTTAGTCTGTAACAGATACTGAAGCTCCCATGGAAAATTGTTCTCTTTGAATATTATGCATTATGCTTTTTTTTATTTTCAAATCAAAGATATAAAAAAAGATTGAAATACATTCGTCAAGACAAGACAAAATGGTGTCGTACTCAAGTTGTGCAACTTCTATCCATCCAGCAGTTTTTTTAAACCACATTCAAATGATACAAATACCACAATTTGAGTCTCACACTTAAACTCTCTCATGTTGTACCTTTCAGTACCCAAACATCCACACCACAGCTGCAATCAGGGTAAGCACTGTGCATCAACAGTCTCTTGTATTCGTTGTGTAACACTGCAGAATACAATGCCATACTTGTTTGTTTCATAGCATTTTCCATGTCAATGGCATTCCTGTTTCATATGGAAGTAATATGTACATGTACAAACTAAACAATTATATACTTACATTGTCATGCAGTGTTGGTATGAGGGTTATTATTATGTTACATTATTGCTTCTGCTATTGGGCAAATAAATGAATAAACAAACAAACAACAAACACACCCCATCCCCAGGTCCTGCTTGCCTACCTGGTGGACAGGTTCTGGTGGTCTCCATCCGTGTGGAGGTACTTCCTCACCACCCTGTACCCTGATGACCCCATCTCCACCATCTCCCAGCATGCCTGCACGGGCTCCACCCACCTGTTTGAGCAGGAGGAGGTCAACGTGTATGCAGAGGTCATCACCATGGCAAAGCTCATCAAGGACAGCTTCAGGGTGAGGAAACATCAGAAGAAAAGGATAATTTTCATTTATTGTATAAAGATATTTATTTATAATCAGAGTTATTTGGTGGTTTACTATACCTAACTGCTGGTTACATACTGCACATTGCATGAAAAACATTCTCAAAGCATACCAAAACATACCCATCAACTCACTCAATGCATGGGAATCGATTATCCAACGCTACAGACAAGACCTTTTCATGCTGTGCAGTAGTTAAAGGTCACAGTCATCATGACCTACAGGCTTGTGTCTTTCAACACAGAGATAAGTGCCTAGTTTCAGAATATCTCCTTTTCTGTTTTTTTTTTAATGTATAATGGGGCTTTGTTTACTGTTCAACAGGTATTTTCTGCTCTTTTCTGTCCTAGCCAGGTTAGAAATTTTGCTCCACTAATCGAACTCTAATCCCTCAATAGCTGTAGAACAGTAACAGTTCAATACTGTTCCTTAGTGCACTGTAGTCTCTCTGATATTTGAGGAAGGCATGGCTAGATTTGACAAATGTCAGACTTTATTGAAGCTCCCTGTGAGAAATGGACTGCGGTGTGCTATGTCCCACTGTGTCATTTCATCTTTTCCTCTTGTGACTTAGCCACAGTACTCGGTCAACATTAAATGACTGCTCATTACTGCAGAATGCTGGTTCTCATTTCAATTGCAAGAAGCATCATTACAGCTTTGGGGTCAGAGAGAGAGTTCCGTGAACCACTTCAGTTCTTACAACATCATCCTTCAAAGATAGGCAGACATTGCAGGGAGAGATTGCTTAACCTCCAGGCATCCTATTTTCTGACTTAGCCGATAACCTGTTCTGTATTACATACTGCAGTTCAAGTGCCGCAGTTTTCCATCACAATTTGTACGAGCCCACACGGGCGTGATACACATGGCCCGGGGCAAGGTTACTGACAGGTTGGATGGAGGGAAGGATTAGGAGTGGGGCTATTTGCCTGGACGGTGTTGTTAAGTGGAAGCTTCAAAACATCATCTCGTTACACGAAGAGTGACAGTCAGGCGACAGGTTTTCAGATATCTTCCTCAGGACGTAGCCTGTACAGTGCTGCTCTAACCTGTCATTTATTTCTGAGAACATCCATCAGCCAAGGATGGATAAACTGTTCCATTACGACCACCAGTAGATATGGCCACCACTTTGTAGTGGGTCTGGTGATCGCTTTTGATAGATTCTCCACTTATCTTCACATTTGGTCATTTTTGCGGAGAATTATTGGGGGAGGGGGGCAGTTACGTATTACTCGATACGTTCCAGGCACGTAGTGGCTTTCTCTATTTTGGGAAATCACTCAGAGTCACAACCATGAATTGCTCGGTCTGGAACATGCCTAACTTCCCAGCAAGTCCCAATGTCATGAGTCCATTTGGGAGATTTTGTCAAGACTAGACATATTATGTCATGACTAGACATATTCAGAAAGCTGTAACTGATTCTTATAGTCCCTGACCAGCATGTTGATAAAAGTTTCAGCAATATGAGTGTGTTTTTGTTTTTCTTCCCACCATTCTGTCTTGATTTGTGGATTTTTTGTCTTACTTGTTGGTATTCTATCCCCAGAACCTTGTCATTAAGCAAAGTCAGGAGAATTCTGCACCTGCCTGGGACATTAACTACTTCACATGTGCCATCAAGGAAGTCAGGGAGAAACTGTCTCTCATTGTCCCTCAGGTAGAAAAGGAAAGACATGCAGGTAGGTAGACAAATTTACACACATCCTCCATTACTTGTAGAACATGGAGAAATATATCTGTCAGGAAACAATGTCCCCTTATGGGACCTTGTCCAGTATTATTATAATAGTCAGGAGGAGTTATACATCATTTTTTGGAGGGTCTCAGATCCTGTAAAGAGTTCATCTGTAACATGAAATTGTAGCAAATGATAAAAGTAATCCCGTCCTCTTAACAGGCATAAGCATGGGTTTGATGAAATAGGGGAATGAGATCTCAGGCAGGGAGGACACTGCTTCTGTAGTCTTTGACATGAAGTTGTTTCTGTCCAACTCAGGTTTACTGGGAGTGACAGGGTACAGCAAGCCCCTGGCAGCACTCTTCTGCTACCTCCTGTATGTGGACTGTCTCTTCTTTCAAATACGTCATTGTCAACTTCCCAATGAGTCTGACATGGTGGAAGAACAGGTACAAGACATCAAGTGCCACCTGTTTCAACTGCAGAAGGTACTACCTAGCACAGAAATGCTTATGATATGAAAGTTTATTATATTCAAGAGATCATTCTTTGGGGAAATTTAGTGCATCTCTTGAGCATAATGCTAGGCCTGTCATGTTTTACAAATCAGTGATGACTTTCCCTCCCCAGAAACAACCTACATGTACTTCAAGTACCCCTGGTATAACAGTAATGGTATAGTTGGTCCAAAGCCAACATCAAATTCTACAGAGATCCTACGTCTTCCCATGTTAACTTCTTTCCCCTTACACACTACAGGGTATTCCTGCTTAACATCCATGTTGCTCTCTTGCTATCTAAACCATTTTTGCTGTGGATACAAGCTTTTAGAAAAAGGGTAACAAGAAGTGTTTCCATTAAAATCATTCCTGAAAATCCCCCCTATTCAGCTGTCGCTTGGAAGGGTCGCCGTGTAAGGCAGTGTACAAATGATGGGATTTTGTGCTCCACCTCGGTAGGCAAATTCTATTTCTGAAGAATTTGCTTCAAAGCTTTCCGTAAATCCTGCCTCCTCCGCTCAGGAAGGGATTGGAAATACCGCTCAGGGCCATTCCTGTGTTTGTCCCTTGATTTATGGACTGTAGAAAAAGAACCAAATCCAGGATGACAGATGTAATCCATGAAGGCTGAATCTGAATTGGTCAACTGGAGTAACCGGCCTTCAGGGTAACACACTAGCTAGATAACGTTTAACACTCTTGTAGACATGCTGCTCACATTTCATCGTGGTATTACTTTACTCCTGCACCGAAGTCCCAAAGCCTGTGTGTACACATGACTGTAGCTGATTTGACAGAGGCTACAGAGCCTCAGTGTTAAAGATGTGTTTGTATTCTTACACACAAAACTATAACATCCTAATAGAGAAGTATAACTGCAAATTTAAAGGTTGGAGGATGCCAGATGCATGTACAGCAACAGCTTGAACCATGGGGATGCCATTATCTTTGCACAGTTACAGGCCCAACTGTTATGGGTAGTGGCCATGGTAAACCAAAAGTGGGTCCACAGCTGCAAGAACAAATGTTTCCCGAGTCATATCTAACCTTGCAGAGGATTTTGTGGATACATCATGTACATAATGGATGTTAAATGGAGCCCTGGTGCTTGTATGGTTTGCACTAACCACTACTAAGGCCAGGGCAGGTTTTTGCAGTAATGGCTGATGCCCATTAGTCATTAGTGATAATTTCAGTCCAGAGCAGACTCTTTGCAGAGCTGTGCTGCCCTGTAAGCTCAAAGGGAAGGGACTTTCACACAAGGATGTAAAGATGATGAATGCATTCACATTATGGTCAACTTCTGAGACGACAAAGACTGCTGTGAGCTATCAGCAATCCCTGTCCATAATACTAATGTTCTGCATAATGCATTTTGCCAGCACAAGTCTTTGTAGCCATGTACAGGGTTGCTGTGTTACATAGGAAATGGACTTGGTCCGAGCCCCTGTCCTGTCTTTGGTCCTTCTATACTTATCCATTAGTGGTGTGCATAAGCTTGCTGCTAGTCTTCCTGGGTTCCATGCAATGATACAATATGTATTATACTTACAGATATAATTACAGTTTACATGTGTATACAAAATACTGCAACATCAGTAATACTAGTACTGAACACAGGAAGAACAAAACTTCAGCCAGTATGTACAGCAATAGCGTAAAACAAGGCGCAATTCTTGTTTCGCGCCTTGTTTTGATTCTGAAAATCCATTAGCAGTCCCTCACGAACTCAACTAATGGAGAAAGGAGCATGAAAACTATATTGAAGGGAATGATGAATGAAATACCCTAAGGCTCAAAAAAGTTTGATCAAAAAGTTATTATCTAAGAAGAAAATGCTTGAAGTCATAACCAAACTCAGAATGAAAGATGCATAAGGCAGGGGGAGATTTACAATTTATTATTGCAGTTTTGCAATGATAAAACTGCAGCTGGAAAACGGCAAAGTTATAGAAATAAGTGCTTTCCAACTCTCAGACCTGATACCCATATATTCTATACCCATATATCCTGTACCCAATCAGTAGAGCTGTGAGAAATGCATAAGGCCTGGCAGTAACACTAACATCCTGGTTCTCTGTTCACAGGTGCCTGCCCTGCATCCAATCCTACATGCTGTCCTCAGCCCTACTGGTCTGTTCTCCCTACAACTGGATCTAGGGACTGCAAACGTATCAACAAAACAGACTAGTCATGTGTCTTGATGTGATGTTGTAGATAGGAACAAGTAATGACTTCACGTATCCTGGTGTTTTATTAATGTCGGCTCACATAATGGAGAGGTACACATAGTAATGAAGACTAACCATGAGCCTCGTAACAGCCAACTTGTTGCTCAGGATATAATGAGCAAGCTGTTGCTGGTGTAGAGAACAAATACTGCTTCACAGAGACTCCACAATCTACTGTAAGCCTGAATGATAATCTCAAGCACTGGCAAAGAGGGACAGGTTCTCAGCTGAAGTGTCAGTTGTTCTGTCTGAACTGAGACATGGACCAAATGTACATGTACATGTATGCATTTAAACTTTTTACTTCATAAAGCCAAGAATTATTAGAGCCATACTGTGCAATTTTACCTGGTTAGAATATTTTTACTTGCAAAATGGAAAATTTTAGTAATAAAAGTTATCTTTTAATGTCTTTTGTGGTCCACACTGTAGAACATATACTCTTCTGAGCAACAATTTTGTATTGTATGGTTTGGAATATTGTACAATACAGTACTGGTGTCCATCCAGTTAAGAAAAGGAACTATGTAGAAGACGCTCCTTTGGTTGACAGATCTTTGCCTTTTTGTTCACCCTGACCCCACTCTATCAACCAGTCTTGTGAGGTTGCATTTAAACACACAATGTCCTTAAAGTTTAAATGTCGACTCTTTCTGACCTGTTCCTAGTTTCCATCATGTTATAACAGGCTCCCCATTGACTCCACGGGTACTAGAGCGGCTCTAATGTGTTACATGTTACATGGCCTGTGACAGTTACTACCACATTGTCCCGACATGGTGATCTATGATGTCTGCATGGCAGCTACAGATATTTCAGCACCATGGAAAGAGCCACATGCTCTTAGAGTGTAGTCTACAGGGTTGACCTCGCGGTTCCACTTATACCGTAACCAGTAAAAAGGTGCGGGGCCCTCTTTATGGAGAAGCTCACGTTACACAGATTTATGCACGACACAATGCTGCATTTCCTGCCACGATTTCACCGGACTTTTCGTAGGTCCTTTTTGTTGTGGACGAGACCATTCGGGCGTCCCATGGCGGAAACATTAGAGCACGCCATGTGCTTCGTTAATGAGGGCCTACATGGGGTTCACTGAATAACCTCTCTAGACAAATTAGCTAACCATTCTTGCTATAATTGATGTGGATGACCTAATCATGATATCCAAACATATATGAAAATCGTGCCATCATTTGACCGTTGTGAAATCTAATCCTAGAAACACCAAAACCCAAGAACGTGGTTAGGCGTGTAACGCATGTGAATGGGTGGACGCTTAACCCCATTAAGTGTGCTTGGTAATACGTAAGTCGGTGATACGCAAGTCAGTGACCATAGTTGCTTCAGTTGTGTTGGGCTTGTGGCTCTTCGGTAAACCCGGTCGACTTTGCTCCCGAGGACAGATAAGTGTATTGAGTGTTCATTCACCAAGTAAAGGTGAGTCGTACTTTTGATGCGCGCTTACACCATTTCTTTTTTAAACATGGTTTAATATCTCGGCTATGAGTTCTATGAGACATTATAAGATTCTGCCAACACTGACGGATAGAAGTAGTCAGGTTTTCAGGTGTTTAAGCAGCACTTTGCTGGTTTTGTTCATAATTCCCTGTCTTCGGAGCACTGCGTGTAATTTGTGATGTAGAGCTACAGATACAACCTAGAACATGGGCACTTACATGTCATTACACACCGGTTAAGCGCCTGACTAGTGTGAGACCGATCGCCCTAAAATAGAAACCGTTGAATGAAAGGCATTGCTGAAAACTGATTGCTGCAATTATTCCGATCCCGTTGTGCTATAAATTGCCACTGTTCGAACCAGCAAATGTGGTCGGTGTTTTATGAGTCAACCTAGGTAAAAGCTTTTTTCTGTCGCCACTTGTTACAATCATTTTGGCACGAATGTCACCGCAGGGGGTTACACTATAGGGTCTTTTATCGGCCTCTTGTGAATTTGGCTATGATAAAGATGAAATGCGTTGTTGCTTCTTTCCCGGACTTCCATTCATATGGCCGCGGCGTTGTTACTCAGAAGAGTAGGCATGTTTTATATCTATTTCTTTCATTCCCATCAAATTGTTTGATCCTAGATGCTGTGTTCATGGTATGAAATATGCAGTATGCAGAGAGAGAAAAAATATCCACTGTGTTCATATAATTTATTTGCGCTCAGTATTATTGGGACCCAGAGCGTGAAGATCCCGACGTCATTGCACTTCATAACTGAAATGATTTTGTAGCAAGCAGTTTGCCTTGCGGCGAAAAAGAATTCAGGTATGGCACAATTAGTTCATTAAAAGAGATGTCTTCTTCATCTCATCTCCAGGCGACCATGGTATGTCGCTGTGTAAGCCTATAGGCTCAATCTGGGTTGACGGCAATCTCTTAAGATGTGGTAAACATGCAGTGTATATTTACCTGAAAACGAAATGTTCCTTCTTAGAGACGGACATTTTTGTCGAGTACCTCTTTATTTGTCAGAGCTGACCAAGTACTCAATTCTACACTTTTTATATCGGTCTTAAAGAGCCAGGTTCTGAACAGACCACGCCTTGTTGTTGGTAGAACGATTTTGTAGTCACAGGAAATGTAACTTGTTAGATTCTACTGCAGGTTGCCTGTCATTATTCAAGGGTGCGTTTTGTCGCCGCTGAAGCGAATGAATTAACCTAAGATGTCGGCAAACATTTGAGAACATCATATGTGCCACTGACGAAACAGACAGTAAACAGACCCGGCGCCATAACAGATTGCAACCATTTAGGCGAAATGATGTTTGTCCATCCATCCTAAGCCGCGCTGGAAAATGGGCTTACAATCAGCTCCTGGGGCGTGTGGCAGGAGGCAAAGCTTTCGTGGGGTCATGCTTCTTCTCACAGCGGAACGATAAATCATTTCTGGGACGCGTTTTTTTGAATCGTTTCCCCGCGAGATCTCCCGACAGGACCGGTAACACGGTGAAGCCGTCTAACGGATGACTGACGTACTCTGTAAACCTGGCGGTCCCTCTGATATCTATGTCCAGAAAATTGGATTATCGTCGTTCCAATTAAATCACTATTTTTTTCACTTAGTGAGCGGCAAGTGTCGTAAGTAGGAGGAATATACAACTACAGCACACGAGCAACACGAGCTGCACGTACTTTTTGGTCCTAGCATGAACACGCATATTCCAGTTGCTTTTAGTTCTAAAATATGTTCGCGTAAATGTACAACGCAACGCCGCCTCGTTCGTCTCTTTCGGTGTAGTTCGTTAGCCTGCTGCTGATGCGCGGGTGATAACGTCCGGTATTATATAACCAGCTGCTGAGAAGCTGGTGTGTTACGCTGAAAGGCGGTTATACCGGCTATACAGATACTGATACCAAAGATGTTTATATAACAGTTTGACGAATGTGACTGCGCCGTAAGTATCCTAGTTCGCCCGATTCTACAAGTTAAGGCAGCATAGTTCGAAAATGTAGACTAAAATTACAGGGATAATAGTAATTACTCCTCAACACACTGTGATGCACATTTCGTGGAGTACGGCTTCTTTTGATTATCCACAGGTACGCCTGGGCATACCCCATAGGACGATCGCAACATGATGCCGTACTTAATCTGTTTGGGTCTGCGTATTCTCCGAGTTTGATCGTCACAGATAATCTCCGTCTGAACTCATTACCCCGCCGTAACGAGCAGGGGCTTCCTAAGTACCGTTTATAAGCTGAAATGTCACGGTGTCAGCGAGTCTAAGAGTCATTTCATGTGTAACGGAAACCGGAAAACGCTTCCAAGTGGATTTTGTGTAGCATTGACTATAAAGCAACACAACAAGAGCTGGGCTAGACGGGACTTTTATTTTATTGCCAACGATACACAAAAAACGCTATCTCAGAAAACACACGACGCATGTCTTTATCCATTCATTCGTTCATTCATTAGTCTGTCATCTTTCTTCCATCCTTTCATTTCCCGTGGTCTCAGCTCAAATTCACTAATGCCTGACTTTCTCCTCACTACTTTTCCTCCCATGTACTTGTCCTCATCTTAATTGATGCTGCAGTGCAAGGTCAGAGGATGTAGCCGTGGTACGTGGTGTGCACATGACTTTCACGGAGGCAGACAACCAATGAAACAGACAAACTGCAAATCAATGAGAAGGTGCTATGTTTAGCTGGCTTATAAGTGGGGCGCGTAGTTAAAACAGTCAGACCAGCACACTTTAGGTAATTCCCAATTACATTTCTGCCAATAGTAGATTGATGTGCCCAGGTCTGTAGTAGACCGTGTGTAGTTCGACCTTTGATGTGACCACAGCTGCGGGAGGTTCACCCAGACAGGCCAATGAGGTCAAGTCTTATCCCCATCATCAAGTCTGTGACAGAGGCAGCTTCACGTGTGGAAAGGTCGTAACGAAGTCGATTTAGGACCCGGCCGGCGGATGTCTACATCAGAGTTGTGAGAACTGTCATCACGGGGTTTATGTGACGGCCATTAAATACTCCCACCCTCTATCATATGGGTGTTCTGATTTGGTACGAGATTTGATTTGAGAGAGGAATGATGTTTGTATCCATCTACTATCGCTGCCTCTCCAATCCCAATCAGCAGTAACACGTTGTAATTGCCGATGAAAGTTTTGATAGTTGCCCTTCTTGTGATATGATTAGAATTGCCCTACTATCCGATATTAAAACTCCACCTTTTCTCTTCAGCGTAAGAAAGCCGCAAACAGATATTGTGTCGTTTGTGAATGACGTTGACATGTGGAACCATCCCTACGCCTTCGGGACCAATGTAATATGAACGCACAATACATGGACTCAGGCAAAGCTGCACACATGGGGATAGACTTGTGACGTCGGCGGTGCTACCCATTGTGTAATCTACGTGTCTCTCTTGCGTCTGATACTCAATCAACGAGAGAACTGTTTTAGACTTATCTTCTACACCATACAGGATTAGCTTCCTCGAGAATATCACTCCGTAGTCAAGGAGACTAGAAATCTGCGAATCACCAGACACGGTTCCATAGCCTTGTGCGATCCCTTTGGGCAGGGATCCAGGCAAAGCTCATTTCCAGCCTTATCGCACAGAGCTAACGTGCTGTCTTTTGTGTTCCTTTGCCGTAATGAAAGAAAGCAGCAACGACACTGAAATTCCGTACTGGCGCGCTTTATGATAAGACCATGGCGCCAATTAACTTGCGTGCAAAATAAAACGACTGTAGTATTTCTTTGTCACGGAAGGTTGTATACATCGTGCTATTTGTGACATCTTGTCACGTACCTAATGTACTGATGTATCTTGAGTATGTGAACATCTGACTTACTACTCCTTTCTGAAGTTGTTCCTATCAATACCTTATAGCCCTACAAAAGTGTGTGGCGTCGGATTGTTGTATCACTGTGCGGCGAAATGGAGCAATCATGAACACAAAGTACAACACTCAAGTCAAGTATTTCTTCTTAATGCGTTTAG